ACAGGACCCGTAGGGATCCTGTGTTGATTGTAAGTGTGAGGTCCAGTTGTAAGGCACTTTTTTCAGTGCCATTGTAACTTTGAACAGTTAACTAGATCAGGGGTAGGCAACCTTGGCTCTTTTATAACTCATGGACTTCAACTCCCAGAATTCCTGAGGCAGCATGGCTCAGCTTGGAAACTCTCCCTTTCCCCTCAGCATGGCTGGCTCAGGAATTCTGGGAGTTGAAGTCCACGAGTCATAAAAGAGCCAAGGTTGCCTACCCCTGAAATAGATGGATAGTTGCAAGTCGAAGACTATCTGTATTCCTTTTGTCGTATTTAGATTTGTTTCGAGAGTTCAGTTTCTTTTTCAAAAATAATAAAAAGTTCTGTGTCTTCCTAATCAGAGCTTCAGTACTTAGTATTCTGTTCCAAAAGGACATTTTGTGTGGTCCCATGCGGAGGCACCTTTCTGACAGGTAGTTTGGTAAGCTATGAATTTAGCTTGCTTGTTAGAATATGCAGAAGACCAACTGAGAAAATAGTTTTGGATTGTCAGCGAATATACAGCTATTTATGCATGTGCAAGACTTCATACTAGATGTAGCTGACAGCAAAACGTTGAGAGACAAATGTATCACTTGCTTTTGGGTGTAACTTATAATCACACTGAGAATTGCATTGCATGATTTTTTTTTGTAAAGTAGGTGACATTTTATGTGAATGTATTCTTTTATGTGAATGTATGTTAAAAAAAAGAAATTGTATAATGTAATTAACTGCTAGATGTGTCTACAGGCCTAGCCAGATGTCCCTTTCCTGTATTTTTTTCTATGTTTATCAAGAAATTGAATTGTTCTTACACTATAGATTTTATATATCAGAATACTGTCATTACTCCAAGTAACATCGAACTGGCACATGTTATACCTTTGCTTCACAAATTGCATTGGTTGCCAGTCTGCTTCCAGGTCCAATTCAAGGTGCTGTTTTTGATCTTTAAAGCAGGGGTCCCCAACCCTAACCCTAACCTTAACCCCAACCCCCAGTCCATGCCAGCAACCGGTCCGCACAAACAAGCAAAGCCACGGGATGAAGGCAGCACACAAAACCACACACTCTCCGGGCCGTGGAAAAACCTCTCTCCATGTAACCGGTCCCTGGTGCCCAAAAGGTTGGGGACCTGTGCTTTAAAGCCCTTCATGATATGGGACTGCGGTATCTGAGGGACCATTTCCATCTGTCCTGAAGAGGTATGCTGTCCATGAGTTTCATCTGATGGGACCCAGGAGACAGACTTTTTCTGCTATGGCACCCACTTGGAATATTGTCTCATTGTTCCTGTGGAACAGACCACATCCTTGACATTCTTCCCTTAAGATATGGCTGTGTGAGCAATCCTGGGGATCTCAAGGCAATAATGATTTGACGAAATGGCTGCTTTGTTTTTACCATCAATTTTCTCCACCATGTTGTTAATAATATTGTTCATTCCTTTTAATTTTAACATTTTTATTTTATAATTGATTTTATTGTAAGCTGCCTTGTCACTTTATTGTGAGATGGCCAACTATGTAAATTTGATGGATGAATGAATGAATGAATGAATGAATATGAGTGAATGAATGAATGAGTTTTACTTCATGATAAAATATGGCTTTCTTTGACAGGATGGAGCTTCAGCAAGTCAGTTTGACTTGTGTACATTCTCTCACACACCACATTCATTTTTGGTTGTGTAGATTTTGATGTGTAGATTCGTATTGGCTCCAGATTCCAAAGGACCTTCTTGCTGTTTTCCTAATTACTATGGTACATTAAATTTACACATTACATATTTTATTATATATTTTAAATGGTGATTTTTTAAAATTAAAATAGTCTTTAACTATCTGTTATCACACAGAATGACATGAACTTATAAAAAGGAAAGCATTGTTTTAGAAATCTGTGCAAAAATAATTATTATATAGAGAACAAACAAGCTTGACTTTTTAAAACTTAGGTATAAACACATTCATTTAACAAGGCTAAAAAAATAGTCAATACTTGAGATGAAAAGCACACATTTTATTTATAAATAATTTGTAAAGAACATGCATTTTTTTTCCTGAGCTGGAAATTTTTAAAAGTTGGAATTGGGCATAGAAAGAAATGTCTTTAGTATATTTATATTGATATGTCTCAGTGCTGTATGCTTTAGAAATCAGCAGTTAGCAAGCAAAAGAAATGGTTAGAGATTTTCTCAAAATTGTTCAAAAACCTTTGGGTAGTAAACTTTTAAGATGAAATCTGCTACTAAATAGTTTATACAATAAAGTAAAATAAAGTAAGTAAAACATATAAAAATTCTGGCAAATGGAAAAAGCTGTTTCCACAGTATTTATTATATGCAGTAGTAAGACTAACAGAATATTACCTCATAAAAATAAACCTAAATTAAAATAATAATTGGAAAATATCCATTGAAAAATCTTAATAATATAAGGACTGCATTGTTTTATGAAAAAAGTAGAATAAAAACTTACTAGGATTCCTAAAAAAATAAAAACAACTTGCAGACTTAGAGAAAATGTGCAATAAATATGTAAGAAGCAAATTTATTAACTTGGTTCCAGCCTATTATGAGAATGAGGCTAACTGAAGACTAACTTTCCACACGTAGGTAGTGATGATCAATCAAAAGGTACCCTGTTGATCCTCATAAATCTCCCTATAGAAGGCTTTTTTCTTCTTGCTCCACAGGCTTTCTGCCTGCTGCTCCTCCTGTCAGATTGATTCTGAAAAGATCCTTGATGTCATCGTCTTTGCACTTGTACTTAAGCCAGCTTTTCTCAGGGGGACTAGTTGGCAGGGAACACGCTGATTAGGGAGTCATTAGGACATGTGTTGTCTGAATCCATTTCTAAAAAATGGAGAGTCCTATTAGCAGTGCTGAGAGCAGAATATTTTCAAGAAGGAGTTTCCCTGGCTTGGAAGAAACAGAACATGCCCTTTGATCCCGAGCTCCTGAATTTCAGGGCAAAGTTTGATTTGAGGGAACTTGACAAATGTCTATCTTAAAAATTAGAAGGTTTTAATCTTGCCTTACGAATAGGAACTTTATAGGCTGACGTGTTGAATATAATATTAATCCCCCATCAATATGGAACAAGTATTGGTCTTTACATGCTTATTTTTTTCCTTTTATCTTAAGGTGCCCAAAGGGTGTCAAGGACTATGCTGTTTTGCATGGTCCTGTTTAAACAGATAGCTGAGAAAGTTCAAGAATACTAGCATAATTCATATGAACAATTGCTGTATTATTGTATGTGTATATGGTCAGGGATCATGCATAATATAAGTACCAGAGAACATGTAGTAAGTAGACTAATGAAGGATAATGTTAATGTACTCTCCTGATGTCAGTCTTGTGAAGTAGTTTAGCCAAGAAGCACTAATTCTATCTTTATTGTAAGGTTACATTAACAAAATTTTGCAAGTTTGAAAGTACATCTCTCCTCTCCTAACCTTTACTGTCCAAGAAACTAAGGAGGGTCCATTATAAGACATTTGTCGCTCCCCCATTCCTTCTGTGGCCTTAGGTGCCTCTTCTCTGACTATTGTGTAGTCTGTGAATCTTCCCCGTCTCCTAAGGCAGAGGTCCCCAACCTTTTGAGCACCAGGGACCAGTTCCATGGAGAGAGGTTTTTCTGCGGACCGGAGGGGGCATGGTTTTGTGTGCTGCCTGCATCTCACGGATGGGGCTTTGCTTGTTTGCGCGGACTGGTTTCTGGCATGCTGCGGCCGGGTGCCAGTCCACAGACTGGGGGTTGGGGACCCCTGCCCTAAGGACTCCCTACATATCATTCCGCCTGTTACTTACCAGATCCATGTAATTGGTGAGTGCTTCTCATATAAATAATATTTGTCATGCGCTGTGATTCATGATTCATTAATGACGTCTTGAAATAGTCATTTAATCAGGTGTGTTTTGCTTATGGAATTTGCTATGAATCACTGTTTAATTTAGTTTAGATTTTCAGTTGTGAGAAATCAGTTTTATTAGAATTGGATTTTTTTTTTACAAGAAGCTAAAGATCACTTTTAATCTTGCGACACAAGTTAAAAGAAGAAATGTGTGATTTCGCTGTAGAATACAATCCATGTAAAGAAAAACCTGCTTCTTTAAGCACTAGATAGAACCCAAACTGGTTGTGGCATTTTGCACATGTAGTGCTGAGACCTGGCCTGCTCAACTTGTAGTGGGAAGGGACCACACTGATGAATTAAAAGTCCTCACAGGCTACAAAGAAATATCTGAAATGCTATGACAGTGATGGCAAACCTTTTAGAGACCAACTGCCCAAACTGCAACCCCAAACCCACTTATTTATTGCAAAGTGCCAGGGCTGCATCAGCATTGTGGTGCCCTCGGGATGGGTGGGGGAGGCATGGCCCACTGGGTGTGCGTGGCTGCAGTGGTCATGGCAGACTGGGTGAACGTGGCTGGGGCCAGTCCCTTGCCATCTATGGGGCATCCCCGGGGGGGCCAACGCCGCTTGCTCGCATACTTCCTGCCCTGTCACTTCCAGATGCCACGTGCTTGCTACTCTAGTGAACTCTGCTGGGGCAACGGTGCACGTGCCCACAGAGAGGGCTCTGAGTGCCGCCTCTGGCATGCGTGTCATAGATTCGCCACCACTGTGCTATGAGCTGTTTGGGGGCTAGAAGAGGGAAGTAGCACTGAGGCTCTCAATAGTAATAAGTCTTGGAGATGCTTGTCATCACATTTTTGGGGATAGTGGCAACAGTGGGCTGCATAATACTGCATGTGTTGTGCAGGCCTGCCTTAGATATCATTCAGTCCCTTAAACAAAGAATTCTGGTTGTATTAGAATTATTGAAAATATGGCTGAGGAACTAAATTGTGCTGGGGCATATGACTGATAAATCATAAATTCCACAGTGATATAAAAATGCTATCCTTAATGATGAGTGCAAAATGAGCAGCTGTTTACTCTTCCCTTCTTTCCATAGGGAAAAGTTGTCTGTGGCCCGGCTACAGCAGGAAGTTGCCCGAAATAAGAGTGACGGAACAATGGTAAGTTTTGGCAATCATCCGATTTGTATTTCCAGTTGTATTGCATAGAACCAAAATACAAATGCAGCATTTTATACCAAATGCAGTCAAGACTTTATTAAGGTATCTCTCAGAATGTGGGCAAGGTAAGAATCCTTGGGAAACGTTATCAGTAAAAATATTGATTTCTCTTCTGATGACCAAGTGAAAAATCATAGCAATTAAGTACACAAATAGGCAATTAGAGATTGGAATTAGATATACTTGATTAGTAATTAATCACCCATTACTGGCAATTGACAAAGAAAGCCATGAAAATGCTTGAAAGATTGATTATGCTAATCCTTAGTCTTAAATCCATTCAGATTCTCCCTATGTTTTTGTTGTGAGATTCATTTACAGTACAGCATTAGAAAGCTACAGTGTAAAATTAGCATTGGTAATCACAGTATTGGTTTAACGAGATCTAAATTTTTCATGAACCTTACTGCACTTTTGTTTTATGCCCTCACTTTGTGAATGAAGTCTGCTTACGCTGAGCTGAAGGATCACAGGAAGATAAAAGCTTGATTCAATATAATGGTAAATCAGGATTTAGTACCATCTGGAAGAACTTCTTTGAGGCTGAATGAAGCCTAAGTCTTTCATGCTTTCCTTTCTGTCTTTTTACACGGTCAGAAGGAGGATTCAGTTACTGTGATTTGTGCCTTGCGATTACATACAAGCCAGAGAACAGTCATTAAAGCAAGCTCTGGTTAGTAAACCAAGCTAGTTTTTGCAGTCCAATTAGCATTTACTTTAAATTAAATTGCCTGATGTGTAGCAAACTGAATTGCCCGATGTGTAGCCTATAATAAATTAGAAGTTGTAGAAACTGGATCCTGCTCACACCCTTTTTTGAGCTGTGTTGTAAAAGAGATAACCCAGAGGCTTTGCTGGGTCTACAGCAGGGGTGTCAAACTGCTGGCCCATGGGCCGGACGCGTCATCCGGAAGCCACACCCACCCCATTGCTGGCAATGGCAAAACTGGCCCGATATGTTGCACAACGTCAATTTGCGAATTTGATATGTCTGGTCTACAGTATCGTTCATGTGACATAACACTGAAACATGGCCAAAATTCTAGAGTTGGTTTGTTCTAATTTGAAATTTAATTAGACTAATAATTGTTTTCTATATGTGTGTGTACATGTATATATGTATAACTGCATACATATCCCTTTTTTGCTCTGTGAGGATCTGGCTTCTAACAATAACAACAAAATTAAATAAAAAAAGGAAAGGGATAAAGAAAAAAAGCAAAACCCTAATCATGCAACAGTTAAAAGCCTGGTGAAAGAGATGCAGTTTACAGAGCTTCTAAACACCAAGATAATAGGGGATAAACACGACTTCTGAAGCATCCGTTTTACTGATAGATGAATATAATACTTTTTTATTGGCTAACATTATTTTCCCAAATACTTTTGTCTCTCTGATGTATTTTGAAATTTAATATTTCACTTATATATGTCATTTGGCACTTGTCCTATAGCAGTCTATTCAGCTGAAGATAAAATGGATAGTAAAAAAAAAGATATCACAAAACGAGTGGAAAAAAATAATAAAAATTGAACGGAACATGCTGCCTCTTTGTTTCCAGTATCATAATCATAAATATGATTTTGGCATTTCGGGGCCCCTTAAAGCGATGCCTATCAATAAAGCTGAATACTAATCACCATATAGTATAAATGGCCAAGCTTAAATTTAATTCAAAATTAATTTCTCCTTTGAATATAATATTTTGAGCAAACTTAGCACTGATAATAAAATTATAGGTACTCTTTGATTTGCATCCATTTGTTTAGCAACTGTTCAAAATTACAACAGCACTGAAAAAAAAAGTGACCTACAACTGGTTCTTGTGGTCTCAATTGTGGTTGCAAGTCCAAGACTGCCTGTACTTTAGGATATATCATTTTGCACAATAAAGCTTAAGTTTCTCTTTGAGGCAGTGGTTTGGATCCCGTGTTTATTACAATGGAAGGAAGTTTGAGCTTGAGATACAACTGAGATGCTATAACAGATCTCCTAGAGACAGGCCCGTAGACAAAGATGGACAGCTTCTGAGTGTCTCAGTTGCCTGTCTTCATACATGACTAGGACATCACCCTCATTTTGCCCTACTTCAGTTTCCTGTAATAGAAACAGCTTTAGCAGCTGGCTTTTAATTATAACCAGTATCTTTTATAGTTCATGCATTTATATGGACAGTCCTCAGCAAGTCAGGCCAGTGATGCTGATGCTTCTATTTCTTCGTTCTCAGGCAATAGTGGTTATATCTTGTTTGGTGATAGAACTTGTCCCATCAATGGTAAAAAGTTCAAAGGCTGAATTTTCATGATTCAATGAATGCTTATTGCCAGAGGCATTACTGTCTTTCCTATTGACTTATTTTTCTGCAAAAACATCATTAATAGCCACATTGCAAATGGGATTCCAAACTACGATTCTGTTCTCTAAATTTGGAAGTACTAGTTTAATCTGACAAATGCATTTAGATAGGACTCTCTCTGTTTGCCTTTGGACCAGATAGTGGCATACTTGATTCCTGATCTCAGGAAAAAAGGTTCAGTTTGTCAATTTGATTTTCACTACCTTGGTATTCTGGGCAATTTTAAAAGCTCTGGAGAAGATTTCAGGTGCCAGGAAAAAGGGTGTGTGAAAATCCTATCTTTGGGCATCCTGGCCCAATTCTTCATCCAGCTTCCGAGATCAAATGAGGATGAAGTAGTATGTTTACTCCTAGTATGTTACACCAGATAAAGCTGATATCCTTCAACTTTACTTTTGAAGTCCTTGAAAAAGGGCTTTCTAATAGGCGTGAGGAAGCAGTGATTTGATTTCTGTGGGGCTTGTTTCTCTGTGCAGCTGTCTACAGTTGGTGGTACATTAGGCCTTTAGTTCTACTTGAGATTCTTTGCAGTTATCTCATTCAGATATGAGGATTTTCAAGAGCATTTAGTGTTTATTGCCTTCATTTCAATTCTGTAAATCTCTCCACAGTTTTCAAGAACCATTATAAATAAATAAAAGGGTAATAAGAACGAGAGAGGCAAAAAACTATTTAGTAGTTTCAAGTCACAAAACATTCTGTTATAACACATGATACAACAATAAATGTATTCAGCTTTGGTGTGGGAAAAAATGTCCACTTAAATTAAGAACCGGAGGGATTTGAGATGTATGCAACAAAGTGTCTTTTATTGCCATGCACAACTGTAGTGGTCATGGGGATCCTCGCCCAAGGTTGTAGAAGAGAGTTATAGATTAAATTATTTTGGTTTATTATTTAGGAATGATAAAGAAATACTGCAAATCACAGTGTGAGATCTACACTGAAATACTTCTGATAATACATTGGGATGACTGTAGGACATCGCCCCTGCGTTCTTCTAAACACAGTTCTAGCTATAAGACAAATGCATATAATTGGGAATTTGTCATGATTTATATTTTAGCACAAGTCATTTTTTTCTGTTTGGTAGCCTTTGTCTACATGAAGCGTTTCAAATGTCTAGATGTATTCCTTTAACCTTTATAAATTCTTACCACTTTTTTTATTTTGTAGGCTGTGGCATAAATTACAGCTGTCAAGATCTTTATTTCATAAAAATTAAACCCAAATCAATTCTTCAATTAGTCTTTCATGTTGGCATAGATTTCAATAAAGATAGGCCAGAAGTCCTTATTTGCTGTGTTCCCTGCTGTGGGCTTAAGTGATACAAAGTGATTATCATGGCTTCTGCTCTATATTCATCTAATTCACACCTGCACCCTTTTGTAAAAGCACAACACTTTAACTGAATATGAGGTCCCGGTTGATTTGGTTCCTTTCCTTTTTAAAATCCTTGAGCGTTAGATTGATTTATGAATGTATCAGATTCTTTGTTAGCGTGTAAACTACTAATTAATTTAAAGCTCCCCTGGGGAAAATTAAAGCCCTGGTTAAGACTTTCAACAGGCTCAGATGGTGCTAATAATAGGAAAGCAAGTTATATTAATGAATTTAAGTGTGATCATTCCTATCACATCCCTTCCCCCAAACTATTCCCATTGCAGAAAAAAGCTGGATCAAACTAGATGGAACCAAAAAAAAAAGAGTTAGAAGACGAAGCAACATCTTAAATCTTGAATTAAATAGTCATTGTGGCTATTTTGGTGGTGATGTAATTTTATACTCTTTAAGTTAGTATTATAATTTATATCCTGGCTAGATGGTATGTGATTGAGAAAAGCTTTTCCTATACTTTATAAACGCAGGTCTTTTATTAATAACTTTGTTAATATTTGTTAGCACTTTATCGAATTACTAACAATTTTCAGCTACAAATCTGCAGTACATTTACATCCCTTTTAAGTCAGTGAGATTTAAATAGTTAAAAGACTTTCCAGAATATGTGCATAATAAACTGAGTTGGATTACAATGATAAAATCTGTCCTTGCCAATGATATTCCAAACCTTGTCGGAAGAAACTCGGTGTGGGTTGAGGACCCTGCCTCCCAAGTCCCCAAAAGACTTTCAACTGTACAGACATCATTCTACCAATGGTGTCCTCAACGTATGACCACAACTGAGCCCAAAATTTATGCTGCTAAGCAAGACAATTAAGTGAGTTTTGTCTCATTTTACAACATTTCTTCCCACAGTTGTTAAAGTGAATCAGTGCTGTTGTTAAATTAGTAACATGGTTTTAAGTGAATCTGGCTTTCCCATTGACTTTGCTGATTAGAATGTAGCAAAAGGTGATCACATGACCCTGGGTCACTGCAACCATCATAGCATAGGTACATACCATTTGCCAAGCATCTGAATTTTGATCATGTGACCGTGGAGCTATTGCAATGGTTATAAGTGTAAAAAAAAGTTGTAAGTCACTTTTTTCATTGTAACTTCAAACGGTCACTAAACAAATTGTTGTATGTCAAGGACTATCAAAAAGATCCCCTTGCTCCTGAGACTTTCTGGAAGGGGCT